TAACTTTAAAGAGCTGTTAGAATAATTTTATAATACTAACTTCTCATCCTAACACTAGCCATTAGAGTTCCAATCTGCTAAGGATAACTATTAGATATCCAGATCTGAATTTATTCTGATATTTGTTTACTATTGATATCTAGATAATTATTCGAATACTTTCTGGATTGTTCGGATATCTGAGTAATCTTAATTAACTAGATAATTTAGATATGGATGATGAATTTATTTTGATTAGAACTCTAATAACCATAAAGAGATGTTAGAATGGTTTAAAATACAAACTTTCATATTTCTAATTATAAGGAAGAGAATCTGAATTCAATCTGGATAGTCCTAAAATAAATTATTAAAGAGAAAAAAGAAAATTTTATTTAAATATAATAAGTATTTATATAATATATTATAATAAGATAGCTGCACAGTGTACAATACCACACAGAAATAGTATAATCAGGTGTTTGGATTTGTTTTTTTTTATTTATTTATTTATTTTTTTGTTTGAGAATTTTTTCTGTTCGATTATTAATTTAATATTTGTTAATTTGAATATTTATGCGGTATTGTTTTGGTGTATTATCTTTATTAACATTTTTTTATTTTTGGGTCATGTTTGTAAATATTTGCTTACATTCGATATTTAGTTTAATTTTAATTTTGTTTAAGTTTTATTCTTATTAGAGTTTATAGCATTTGTATAATTGTTTTTAGTATATTATAGTAAAGTTTTTTTTTGTTTTGTATTTTTTGTTTATTTCTAGTTGGCAAGTAATTTATTGGAAGATTTTTATATAGTTGGTTAGATTTTTTTTTTATTAGTCATATTTATTTGTTTATTATTATTATTCTTATTGTATGTGGTTGTTGGAATTAATGACGATTTTAGTGTTCATTGATCGTTTTTTAATTGTTTTGATGATCATTTTTATTTAATATTTTTATCATGATTTTTTGTGGATTTGGATTAGTTCTATCGGGTTATTTTTGATAATATATTGTGTCATTATTGTAGTATTTTATTTTTGATAAGTTTATAAATTTGAGTAATTTTGTCGTATTATTGTGTTTTTTTTTTTTTTTTGTAATTTTTAAAATGCCTTGTTATATTGATACAATCGTGAGGATTATTCAAGTTTGTTTAACTGATAGAGAAGATTTAAATTTGACTATTGTGTGGGCTACAGGTGTTTATCCTCTTGAAAGTGAAGATCGTGAATTGGATTTGGTGTTGTTTGTTCTAATAAAGGATGATGAGAAAGATCCTAATACTCAGGCAATATTTGTAAAGAATGAGCATTATTGTATTAGTGGAAAAGTTGTGTTTGAAATTTTTAATAATAATTTTAAATTGAAGGTAATTTATTTAGGATTTTTTATATTAGTTAGTAAAAATTGCATTATTAAAATTTTTTTTTATTTAGATGACTGTTTCAACTTCTACTCATATTACTATTATGAGAGATCTTGGTTCTAACAGGTGTCTTTTAAAAGTTTCATTGGTGAGTGTTGCTCAAGATGTAATGAGAGAGTTTAATAAAGAGGATACAATTGTTAATGTTTTGGTAAGAGATTATGCTGGGCAAAAGAAATATAATTTTACAGTTAGGATTGTATTTCCATATCAGAATAGTAGATTTAAGCATCTAAGAAGTTCTATATAGCCAAATGAGTCTGTTTTTTTCATTACAGGACAGTTGGAGGTTATTGATGATAATTGTATACAAATGCCATTAATATTTCTTACATTGATGTTTCTTTTGCATCTAAAAAAAAAGTTTCAGATTCTGTTAGTTCACAGATTACTTCTGGATATTATAGTTCTTTATGATTAAAACTTTTAATTGCTCATCAAAGTGCTTGTGAAGGTTTAAACAAGACTTCTGTTAATAAAAGTTTAGATTGTGACAAGCCTATTGTTGATTTAACTACTATTAATAGTAATTCTTTAAAGTGTGAGAGAGTGGTAGACAAAGTAGATGGTTGTACTAAGTATGTTGTTTCTTCTATCAGCGGTTGCTGTTCATCTAAGCATGTTAGAGTCAATGACGAAGCTGATAATTATGTTGAGTATATTGATTCGGATTGTAGTGATAATAAACGTATTAGCAAAAGTATTAATGAGTGTGCAGAAGATGGCAGTGAATATTGTGGAAATATTATTTTTGAAGATAAAAACGAATTTAGTTGTGATAAGAAAATGAATAAGGGTAAAGAAAAGGAGGTTCAGCCTACAGTGTATAATACAAGGCGTAGAACTAAGTCTTAGGCATTTAATATTTATGTTTTTGAAGTTTATGCTTATGTTCGTTAGATATTTTTTTACTATTCATTGTTTTTTGTTTAAATTTATATTATCGATTTTGCTGTATTCGTTTTGATTTTTTATCTGAAAATTTGTTTTCGTTTGCTTATGATTATGATGTTATTTGATTTAAGTAAAAATGAATGATATATGTTTTGCATATTTATTTATATTTGTTGTATAACGGTTGTTTAGATTGATGTCAAAATTGTGTTATTTGTCATGTGAATTATTTATATGTGTGTTGTATGTATTTTCATAGTAAAGTTGATAAAGTTGATTTTGTTGTATATATTAAATTTTTTTTAGATTTATCATATAAGTAATGGGTAAAATATGACAAAAGTCATAAAATATATTCATTGTATTGTGTTTGAATCAGTTTGTTTGTTTAAATGTTTCTTGTTCATGTGATTTTTGGGTCAGTAGTATAATTGATTAAAAAGGAATTATTGATGCAAATAATTTATTAATGTCGGTTTAATTTTTTTTAATAGGAATTTAAATATTTTTTTGTAATATTCTATTTTTTTATTTTAAAGGTAAAATATGTTGTTATTTTTTTATTTATTCAATTAATATTTACAATGTACTGTATGGTTTAGGGTGTTAATACGGAAAGGTTTGAATTAAATTATTTATATTTTTTTTTGATTTTGTACGTGAAAGTTAAATTTAGTCTAAATTGATATATTAGTATAAATTATTTTATTTTCATGTGCATTAATTGTAATGTTATTGATTTATTTTTTTTATGTATATATATTTTTAATTACATATTTATATTATTTTTATAGTATTTGGAAATTACAGAAGTTTGATTTTCTATAAGCTTGTATTACTCAGCATTAGGCCAAGTAAGTAATTGTTTGGTTATTTTTGAGCATTTTTCAAAATTTTCAAGCTCATTTTTAAGATCAGGGTCAACTATTAAGTTAAATTTAGATTGATTAAATGGTCGAAGTATTTTTACGTCTTCCAATTTTTGTACTCTTGATAACATAACGTAGGTGCCTGCACCTATAATTCCACCGTTTAAATCAATGATTACTTTTTCTAGTGTGGCACCTTGGCATTTGAATTCTGTAAGTGCAAAAGCTGGAGTAATTGGTAATTGTGTTCTTTGAAATCCTCTAGTTAAATTTAAACCATCTCTTGTTTTATGTACATACTTGCAGTTTCACTTGATAGCTAAATTGGCACATAGTTTGGGGGAAGGTCTTTGTATGAGCCTAGTTCATGGTTTAAAATTTCAATGATTATGTATTTAGGTGGTTTATCGAGGATGATATCGGTCTCTTTATTGATGTTTATGTTTTCCATATTTGTTGTAGTATTGTCATATATTATTTGACAAAGGATACCTTGTGCACCATTTACCATTCTGTCATTTGTACAAATGTTGATAGTCAGAGCTATTTTCATGCCAATTGTTAATAGTAATATGCCATATAATGTATTTGATTTTGTATCTGATATACTTAAAAGTTTTCGTTTCATGCCGCCATGGACGGGCTTGTTTTTGTATGTATCTTTTGCACAACTATAATAAATTGGTTGATTATAGTTTCTAGCATATTTTATTGTACTTTCAAAGTTGAGTTGTATTCTTAAATTATTTCTTCTAACTAGAAATGTTGCATTTTGCCATTCAGATAAGCTCATATCATCTATTGTTATTATACATTTACATAGAGTTTCGTATTGCATTGTTGTTAGTTGTCCTAAATGTAAATTATTTAATATAGTTGCGTATTCTAAATCATTAATTTGTCGCATTTGTTTTTTTAGAATGATCGCATGTTTAATTGATTTCCATAGTTCTCTTTCATTGATTTTTTTTAACATTCAGGTACTGGATGATTGTAATTTAATTGTTGTATTAATATTGTGTGTTTGGTATAAAGGAGGGTCAAGTACCGGAGGGAGTTGTATAAAATCTCCTACAAAAAGTATATTTAGGCTGGCAAAAGGTATTGTATTGTCTTGAATACATTTTGCTTCTTTAACGCATGTATCAAAATGCTCTAATAGCTATTGTCCTATCATAGATATTTCATCTATGATAAGATATTCTATACTTGCTCAACGTTCTTGAAGTGTTTTCTTCGGTTTATCATATATTTGTTCATGTTTCAAATCATAATAATCATCATCATTAAATTTAAAACCGCAGAGCGAATGAAGAGTACAGCCTTGAATGTTTGATGCAGCGAAACCTGTCAGTGCACAGATCTCAAAACTTTGCCTTTGTCCAATTTGGTTAAAATATTTGTAAATTGCTTTGATTATTTTTGATTTTTCGGTGCCTCCAGCACCACCTAAATACATCAATAGCTGGAATGGTTTATTAGAGCTTTCAGGATAATTTCTATTACGGCGATCGCAAATAAGCATAAAGACTTTCTTTTGTTCGTCATTAAGTTTGTCTGAAATTTCTTGAAGCTTTTTTTTGATTTAAGATTGATTTTGATTGAGTATTTTTTGTGTTTCTTCTAGTAGGAGTATTCATAGAAAGTTTGGATATTTTATTTTTTTCAGAATTTAAATTATTATTCTTTTGTTCTATTTGTTTTCTTTGTGCTATAGTTTCTTGCCATGTTTGAATTAGGTTATCATCGTTTTCGCAAGAAGATTGTATCAGAGTTTTGCCATCATTATAATTTGATTTATCAATTCTGCTTTGATATTCTCTACTGAGTCTACTTTTAAGATGTAAATGAATTAGTGCATCTTTGACGAAATTTTCATTTTGTAGTCCAGAACGTACGATTTCGTATAGGTTTATTGGAGTTATATCATTATCATCAAAATCTTCATGGTTGATTAACATTTCAATATCATCAGCCGTATTATTATAGCCGGTTACCGATCTTTCTATTTTTCGGATTTTTTCAATTTCAGGATTTTTTTGAGATAATTGCCATAATTGCTGATCCAGGAGTGTTTCTTCTATGCATTGATGATGAAGTTCAATATTGTTATATCCAGCTATAAGATCATTGTAGTAGTTCATGGCTTGAATAGTAAAAGGATACAGAGCCCATATCATTCTGCATTTTTATTACTGTTTTTGCGAGATATGCTTTTTCCATATATTACAGGTATTTTTTCATTTCCAAGATACCAATGAACCTGCATATGCGTAGAGTGTTGGGGATGTATGCTATTATAATCACAAGTTTTGTCATATTTTTTCTTACTACCTGAGAAAAAAAATCAATCTACTCTTGTTGCTCGTCTTTCACGATTTTTTTGCCTTGCAATTTTGTTTAATTCCTTTTTATCTATTTTTGCTTTATGAAGTGTAGCAGCATAATCATAAAGGCATATGTTTTTTAACTGCTTATCACGATGTATATAATTAACTCATAAATTTGTTGCTATTATTTTTTTATTTATACTGGATACCGCAAACATTTCATCACTGGTAAAGCTATCATTTAGTTCATCATCGTTTTCCTCTGTTTTATCACTTTCTTCTGATTCATTATTATTTGAACTCGAGGCCATATCATTTTTAATTGGGTATTGTAAAGTTAAGTACATTTCAAAGGAATTAAGATGTATTGGAATGAATTTATTCAGTGTATAATGATCTCTAAAGCCTAAAAGATATGCTGATATTTGAGGTTCAGTCATTTCTATTTGTCCCGTAATTTTATTGAGACACATCATAACAAGTCGTTGCGATTTTGCTTTAGATTTATCGAATAATTTTCCTGTTCCTTCAGTAATAAATTTATTTAAAGTTATAGCACACATTAGGAATAAGTTATGAGTACTCGCATCAGATTTTGTTATATAATCTGTTATATAATGTATATATGCTAACGCTAACTTGTTAGTTGCAATAAATCTAATGTCATTGTTGCAACGACAACAAGAAGTTATATAGGGGTTATGGTTGTTAATATATGTATTGTAACGCTGAAGAGTAATTATTCCAAGCTCAGGGTAAATTTTCCCAGATGCTTCATCCATTTCCCGTAGAAAATCAAAACGACAGTTTGATAATTTACCACGATTATACTTTTTACATGATTTAGTGTATCTATGAAATAGGGAGCATTTAGCTATTGCAAGAATGTCTTGTCGAAGTTTTTCATTAAAGTTAAATGATCGCGAGTCTGGAATTGGTAGAAGGGATGGGTGTATCCTTTTTTCTAGTTTTGTTTTTGGTGCATTGTATTCAGCATTTAGTATCTTCTTTAACGATTTTATCCACATAATTTATTAGTCGTTTCCCAAAGTTTATATCATTTCGAAGACGTTCTCATAATTCAATAGGATTTAAAGCTCCTTGGAGTCATATTAGCATGTGACAGTGGGGTGTTCCTCGGTCTTGATATTCGATGACTGCATAGTAATTTTTTATCTTGCCAAGTATACCACCTTTTAATTTGCCATAACCGATAAGTATTTCTATTGTTTTTTTTATTACAATATCAAAATATTTTGCCACTGCAGTTGGATCGAAACATGCTAATTTTGCTCTCTCTATCAATATAGGGAATTGTTCCGGAAGCAAATTGTTAACATCAATTTCTTTTTCCGTGTACATCATTACAATTGGACTGTGTAAGTCCGCAGGGTTGATTGTTATAAATAACAAGGGTGTGCCGTCTCGTATAATAACCGTACAAATTTCATTTCGTAGTTTAACATGGATTGATTTGATCCCATAATCTTTTCACAACAACCTTAATATTTCTTAACAGTTCAAGAACAGCTTCATTAGTTACTAGTAATTTATTTTGTTTTTGTTCAATTGCAACTTTCATATCGGTTAATGTCAGTTTCGAAATTAACTCTGCAAATCTTTTAAAATTTAACTGTTTTGTTATTAAATACATTTTTGTTGCTACTTCTTTTCTTCTTAGTATATCGAATGCAGCAAAAATAAATGAGCGATGATGTCTAAATTTTTGGTCATGCAAATGCAACAGATGATTAATATATTG